TGCGTCCCAGCATGCGTCACGCCGCCCGCCCCCACTGTTTCCGCCCCCTTGCATCCCAGCATGCCCCGCGCCGCCCTCCTGCCTTCAGGGTAGCTCTTGTGTGCTGCCTGATAAGCTGCTTCTGATTCCCGGGGCTGGGATCTGGGGCCGGGAGCGCTCATTACCCGGCAGCCCCCTGGCTCCTGGAGGCTAAAGGACCGTCTGGCTGAGCACGCCGCGGAGCCCTGGGTAGCACCGAGCAGGCGCAGCGGAGGACGGCAGGGGGCGGGGCGGGGTCCTTCAGCGCCCGGAAGCACGTGGTCCCGCGGGGCCGCGTGGGCAGGAAGTGGCTGCCGCTGCCGCTGCCGCTGCCTCTGCTCCGGTGTTTGCCGCGATCACGGCCGTGAAAGCGGGCAGCCATGGGGGGCTTGGAGAAGAAGAAGGTACGGAGGAGCAGGAGGAAGCGCGGAGGTGTCCGGGGAAACGGGGGTGCCCGAGCGGAGGGGAGAGAGGGAGGAGGCCAGGGAAGGGGAAGGGGCCGAGACGTGGGGGGGATGGAGGAGGGGGTCCTGAGGGGAGGGGACACGGTGGGGGGGGCGAGGATCCATGAGGGGTAGCTTTGGGGGAGGTGCCCGGAGAGGGGAAGAGTCCCGGGTCAGGGAGGGTGGGGGCAGGAAGGGCGGCTCTCGGAGGATGGGGAGGTGGGGACGGCGAAAGGACACAAGGCCGGAGCAAGGATGCAGCGCGAATTCAGGGGGAGAAGGGGGTCGTCCAGCGGGGTCCGTCGGGACCTTCCGGACCTTCCTGGAATACCGGACTTGGAATTTAAAAACCTGGCTTCAAATAACAGCCCTCGTGGCTTTGGGCAAGTTGCTTGCCATTCGTGGGCCTCAGTTTCCTCATTTTACCTCATGAGATCGACGGACTTTGCAATCTCTTAGAGTTCTAGATTGATGATACTGTGAGCTCCCTTCGTATCCATTTAATTTCCGTGAGAGGCAGCCTACCTCAGTGCATAGAGCACTGGACTTGAAAGGCTGGAAGATCTGGGTTCAAATGCTGCCTCGGATACTTACCAGCTTTGTGACCTTGGACATCTCAGCCTCAATTTCCTCACCTGTAAAATGAGGGGTTTGGGCTTGGAGGCCTCTATGGACCCATCCAGTTCCAGGTTCCAGATCCTGTGGTCCCCTTAGCTCATTGAATCTATCAGTAGACATTTAAATGCCTACTGCACTGGGTGTTGCAGGTTCTGGTGCTCTCCAAGGTAAGGTCCTTTCGTGGGGCTTCAGTCCAGCTACTTCTAAACAACTGTACAACCTCAGCTGAACTCCAGCTCTGTGTTGATAGGATCGGATTTATCCCTCTCAAGCCTGGTGCTGGTCTCCAGAAGGGTTGTTGTGTAGAAGAGGAATTTGCCTGGCCTTAGAGAAGCAATGAAGGGAGGTTCATAGGTCATAACTCTGGGTCCCTAAGGATCTTGGAGGTCATCTCATCCAGCCCCCTGTTTTACAGAGGAAACTCAAACCCAGATTGTGGTGGGACTTGCTAAGGCCACGCTAGTGAGAGAGCTGGGATTTGGACGTCTTTAAGCGGAGACATCTTTCTTGGAGATTTTTGTGCGGATCCAGGTTGGCCCGGGAGCCCCTGAGGTTCTGTGGCCTGTTGTGATTGGGTGATGCTGTTGCCCAGCACAGATAGGAGGGCAGCTGATGGATCTGGGTTCCAAGGGGTTGGCTAGTACGCCCAAAGATACTCTTTTGAAAGAATTGTTGCTAACAAAAAAAATCTATCTTCTACCCCACCCAAAAAGTATGAGAGGGGATCTGCAACCAACTACATCACCAGAAACAAAGCCAGGAAGAAACTGCAGCTGAGCCTTGCTGATTTCAGGTGAGAACTGGACCAAACCATTGGCCATAGGATGTTTGAGTGGGAGGTGACCATGGCAGAGATGAGTAAAATGCACTGTTGACCTCTCAGCATCTCCTTAATCTCCCCTCCTTTCTCAGCTGCTAATGAGCATTAAGCTGACTTCTCCTCCTCTTCCTGTCCCAAGAGGCAGTGGGGGCCTGCAGGCCAGAGCCCTGGTGACTAGCCCAGCTCTGGCCCTGGCCCAGGCCCTGGCCCTCAGCTTGCTCGTCTGTATGATGAGAGGGGATCGGCCAGAGCTGGAAAGGACGTGAGGGGCCCTCATTCTACCGATGAGGAAACTGAGGTGAGAGGGGAAGAGGTGGCTCGATGACTGCCTCAGTTTCCTCCTGTGTAAAATGGGGACAGTTGTAGCAGCTGCCTCCCAGGGAAGGATCAAATGAGATGTTATTTGTCAAGAAATTTGCAAACCTCAGAATCCTCTTTAAATGAGCTCTTTAAATATTGTTATATTACGTGAGCCTGGATTTGAACTCGGGTCCCCTGGCTCCAAACCTCTTGGTCTTTGCACCCATCACCCTGCTCCCCTTGTAGCACTGACACTCTGTGAGTCTGACCCCCCCTTTGGGGCCTCACAAAGGGTCCTTTCTAGAGCTCTAAGCTCTGTCTTGTTCATAATCGCAGTGAGCTGCTGGTAATAACGACTTTCATTTCTGTGGTGTTTCATGGGTAACGGAGTCCTTTCCCCGACACTTTAATTGTGATGCCAGCTGACATTTGTACAGCAGACCGCTGCTGGTTGATCTTCGTGGCCTCCATTCGGAGTAGGGAGTGGGAGGATTTTTGTCCCCGGCATAGGGCCTGTGCTTTCCTTGCCCTTCCTCCAGTACTGCAGGTCGGGGCCTTCTGTGTACTTGGTGTGGAGGAGTGCCCAGGGGCTCACTCCCTGTCTAGTTCAGAGGTGGCTCTCAAACCCAGGCCTTCCTGGCTCCAAGGCTGACTCTCCCGTCTGCCATGCTGGCTGGCTTATTCTCACTGGAAGTTCTGTGGCTAATGATGGGAGAGCTGGGACCCGAGCCGGGATTCATCCTGCTCGTCTGTGGTTCTGGGCTGTGATGGTGCCCAGCTGCGGTGGGGGCGGGAGCCAGTGCTAATCGCCTGGGGGGGTTTGTTCTGTTTCAGACGCCTGTGTATCCTGAAGGGCATTTACCCCCATGAGCCCAAACATAAGAAGAAGGTTAACAAGGGCTCCACAGCCGCCAGGACCTTTTACCTGCTCAAGGACATCAAGTTTCTTCTGCACGAGCCCATCGTCAACAAGTTCCGGGACTACAAGGTCAGGTTTGCGTCGGAGGCAGCAAACTTTCATTAAGCGCCCACTGCACGCTCTGATGTCGGGGTCGTGCTTGGCTGGGGTAGGCCGCGTCCCCTGCTGAACTGGAAGGGCCTCCAGGCAGGGCCTGTCTCTTCCCTCTCTTTGAACCCCTGGGGTTTGGCATGGGGCTTAGCAGGAGCAGGCCCTTAATAAATGCTTCTTAGCTTGCCTTGGGGGGAGTCAGAGGCCATGGCAAAGAAGATGACGGTCACTCCAGGCCCTCCTTTGGGCCTCAGTCTATGGGACAGATGAGGTGTGGGCTCAGAGAGGCACAGGGAGACAGAGTAGGCTAGAACTGTCCACCAGGGGTTCTCTGAGATGGGAGAGCCTGGGTGCAAATCCTGCCTCAAATATGAACTCTGCTCCGGGACAGATTACCTAGATCCATAGAGCCTCAGTTTCCTCCTCTGTAAAATGCAGTCTTTTCCTCCTAGGTGGCTCTGGCCCCCTCCTCACAGGAACTCCTGGAGGTGTGAAAGATGGGGGTTTAGCGTTAGGAAGATTTTTTTGGTGGAGGGAAGGAAGACAGACAGACAGACACACACACACACCCCCACACCCCACCCCCCCACCCAGAAACAGAGAAAAAGAGGGCAGGATGCAAATCTTGCCTTCGCTCCTCTCTAACCTCGAGCAACTGACTCTCCCTGCCCCCTCCATCAGTTTTCCTATCTGTAGATGAAAGGAGTTGGACCAGGTCAGGCTTTCTTAATCTAGGGTCTTTGCTCTGACATCCTCTCCCAGCTCTGACATTCTACATTCTGAGGCCCCTCCCAGCCCTGGCATTCCCTGTTCTAGGGCCCCTCCAGCTCTGACATCCCCTGTTCTAGGGCCCCTCCCAGCTCTGACAATCCTTGTTCTAAGGCCTCTCTCATCTCTGACATCCCCTGTTCTAAGGCGCTCCCAGCCATGACATCCCCTCTTATGTGTTCTAGGGCCCTTTAAGGATGCCTGAGTCCCTCAGGTCCCCTGTTTAGGGCCACAGCAGTATGTTATATGTGACTTGATTTGCTTGTGTAATGACTTCATTGGGTGTATAAAGGCCTAGAATAATTTTAGTGGGAATGTTTTCCCCTCACCCTTCCCCCCGGGGAGGGGGCAGTAGGGGTCCGAGAGATACAAAACACGTGTTCTCCAAGTGTCCTTCCCCTGGGATTTTCCCTCCCTTCCCATCTCCCCTTGTTTGTCTCTGCCGGGGCAGTCGGTCAGCAGACTCTGAGCGCCATTGATGCAGAGGCCTGGGGGAGGGCCCTCCAGAAGCTTCTGCTCCTTTGGTAGTGAGAGAAGCCTCAGCAGAGCCAGCACGCCAGGGCCAGGGTGAGAAGCTAACGCTCCTGAGGGTCCCAAGGGTGCCCCTGGACCTCATTCTTGCCCATCTGTAAAACGGTGGCTGTAGAATTGTTGTGACCCTGGCCTGGCTTCCTGTGTCCTGGCGAGATATTTGCCAGAAGTTTCTGTAAAAATATGCAGGCGGAACAGTGGCCCCATCAGGCCTTAGGCCAGAAAGATTCTTTGTGCACCAGAACGCTGGAAGCTTCTCCAGGCTCCCCTCCCCAGAGCCCACATGGATGTAGCCCATGGGGGACAGAAGAGATTAGAAACCCTGGGACAGCCTGAGAAGTGTCTCTGGGAGTAGAGAATTGGGCCTGAGGGGGTGGCTGCCTGTTGGGGAATGGCCAAACAGATTGTGGCTTGGGATGTCAGGGGTGGGTGACCAGATGCAGAGGAAACCAGCTGGGAGGCGGCCCTCTGGGACCTAGCTGCATCCGTGGTGCTCCGTTACAGGTTTCAGTTTTTGGTTTTTTTTTTTTGTTTGTTTGTTTTTTTTTTTCATTTTAATTGGGGGATGGTGGGGAAAGAGAGGGGATAACAAGACCACAGCAGAGGAAAGCCATTGTTGTCTTTATTTCTTTTTATTTTTTTTAAATTTATTTTGTTTTATCAACAATCACTTCCATAAGCTTTTTTTTTTTTTTTTTTTTAGCTTTTTAGTGAGGCAGTCAGGGTTAAGTGACTTGCCCAGGGTCACTTGGCTAGTACTTGTCAAGTGTCTGAGGCCAGATCTGAATTCAGGTCTTCCTGACTCCAAGGCCAGAGCTCTGTCCACTGTGCCACCTAGCTACCCCTTCCATAAGCTTTTGAGTTTTAAATTTTTCTCCCCCTCCCTCCCCACGATGGCGCACAATCCAATATAGGCTATGTATATACATTCCTATTAAACATATTTTCACATTAGTGATGTTGTAAGGAAGAATTAGAACCAATAAGAGGAACCACAAGAAAGAGAAAACAAAACAGAAGGAAAAAATAGCAAATAGTATGCTTTGGTCTGCATTCAGACTCTATAGTTCTTTCTTTGGATGCGGATAGCATTTTTCATCATGAGGCTTTTGGAGATGTCTTAGATCCTTGTATTGCTGAGAAGGGCGAAGTCTATCAATATTAGTCATCGCCCAAAGTGGCTGTTACTGTGTACAGTGTTCTCCTGGTTCTGCTCACTTCATTTAGCATCAGTTCATATAAGTCTTTCCAGGTTTTTCCGAAGTCTGCCTGCTCATCATTTCTTATAGCACAATAGTATTCCATCACATTCATATATCATATTCACAGTTATGATTACCATCTGTGACTTTCTCTCCATCCTTTTCTCCCCCATTTATGCTTTTCTTTCTCCTTTTCCTTCCTCACTAATGTTTTGGTTTTGACCACTGCTTCCCTCAGTCTCCCTCCCTTCTATTCCCCCTCCCATTGTCATCTTTGTAAAAGTTCAGAACAGGGGCAGCTAGGTGGCACAGTGGGTAGAGCACTGGTCAGGAGTCAGGACAAACTGAGTTCAAATGTGGCCTCAGACACCTAATACTCACTAGCTGTGTGACCCTGGGCAAGTCACTTAACCCCATTGCCTAACCAAAAAAAAAATTTTTTTTTAAAAATTAGAAGTCCAGAACAGCAGAAAACCATGAAGAAGGAAGTGCTGCGTGAGAGAAACCTGTGGGATTCTGCATACTTTTCCACAAAGCGCACAGGGTGGGATGGAGTCGCCGCCGCCTCCTTTGTGCCGGGCTGCGTCTTGGGAACTTTTATAAAAGGTGTCCCTGGGTCTCCCCTTTCGTAGGTGTTTGTCAGGAAGCTCCGAAAGGCCTACGGAAAGAGCGAGTGGAATACGGTGGAGCGGCTCAAAGACAACAAGCCCGTTTACAAGCTTGACCACATCATCAAGGAGAGGTGAGCCCGCCTGCCTCGGTTGTCCCTAGGAGGGCCAAGCCCCGGGTGAGGGGCGAGGAGCGAGGCTGCTGCCGTGTTGCTACCCCTGGGCTGAGCTGAAAGGGCCCTGGAACAGGCCCCTCCGGGGCAGGGGAGCCCCCCACCTCCTGGGGCGGCCCAGCCCAGCGGGGCGCAGCTCTGGTTGTTAGGGTTCTCCTCCTTCCCCAAGCCTTACGGAGGCAGCTGCGGGTGCAGTCCATAAAGGGAGGGAGGCAGTGTGAGGGAGAGTTCTGCAGATGGGGAAACTGACGCTCAGGAGAGGCTGGGCGATGCATTGGAAAGCTCTGGGAAGCAGGTTCGGCTCTCCTCTGCCGCTGCTGCGGGGGCTCGCCTCCCTGGGCCTCCGTTGGCCTGAGGTCTCACCTCTGCCTCCCCTCTGTCCTCCCCGACCCCAGCTCCTTGTAAAACCTCATCTCAGTCTCGCCCTGTAGAGACGCCCCTTCTTTGGGATCCTGCAGCTCCTCCTCCTGAAAGATTAAGCTCTGTACTGTGTACTTGGAAGCCAGGAGGCCCACCTGGGCACCGGCACGCGGTCTGTTGTTCGGCCGTGCCTGACCCTCTGTGACCCCTTTTGGGGTTCTCTTGGCAGAGACATTGGAGTGGTTTGCTCTTTCCTTCTCCGGCTCATTTTGCAGATGAGGAAACTGAGTCATATAGGGTGAAGTGACTCTCCCAGGGTCACACAGCTAGTCTGTCTGAGGCAGGATTTGGACTCGGGCTGATGAGTCTTCCCGACTCCTGGCTGGGCTCTGTGCACTGTGGCACCACCTAGTTGCCCTGGTCTTTCCTCCGGGGAAACAGTTGGTTAGAGCATCCTTAACCTGGGTGACCTTGGCTGAGACAAAGGGCTTTGGCCCCTTGGGGCCCCCTCCTGGCCTGGCTCTTCCACAAAGTGAAGGTCTCAGATGGTGCCCCGGAGGCCCCTCCCTGGGGCGCTGCCCTCAGCCTGGCCTGCTGGGGTGAGGGGCGAGGGGCGAGGGGCGAGGGTCCAGGCGCCTGTGCTGTGCTTATCCCTCCCTGGCGGCTCCCAGGTACCCCACCTTCATCGATGCCCTGCGAGACCTGGATGATGCCTTGTCCATGTGTTTTCTGTTCTCGACCTTCCCCCGCACCGGAAAGTGCCACGTTCAGACCATCCAGCTGTGCCGCAGGCTCACCGTGGAGTTCCTCAACTACATCATCACCTCCCGGGCTCTGCGCAAGGTGAGCCGTGAGACCCCGGTGCTGAGCACCCTCCCCGCTGCCCCGGCCCTGCGCCTTCCCACTGCCCCCAGCCCTGCGCCCTCCCCGCTGCCCCCGGCCCTGAGCCCTTTCTACTGACCCCAGCCCTGTGCTGTCCCACTACTCCCTATTCCTTGCCCTCTCGGCCCTGCACCCTCCCTGCTGATCCCAGCCCTGTGCCCTCCCCCTTCTGCCGGCCCTGTGTCCTCCCACTGCCCCTGTTCCCTGCCCTCTCAGCCCTGCACCCTCCCACTGCCCCTGTCCCCTTAGCCCTGCTCTCTATCCCTCCCCCCTCCTCCCTTTCCCCACCACTGTTCCCTCCCTCCCCCTCCCCATTGCTCCCATCTCCTTACCTGCCCTTCCCCCCAGGTCTTCCTGTCCATCAAAGGGATTTACTACCAGGCCGAGGTGCTGGGCCAGCCCGTCGTGTGGATCACTCCCTATGCCTTTTCCCACAACGTGAGTCAGTCCCCTCCTGCTGGGCACGTAACGTAGAGTCCGAAGGCCTGGGTTCAGGTTCTCTTTTTGATCTTGGGCAAGTCCCTTGGGGATGATTATTTGCCACCTGTCCCTCTCCATTTCCTGACTCCTCCCTTTGAGTAGCAGCGGGAAAGGAGCCAGAGCCTCGGTCTCCCCCCTCACCTCACAGCAGACTCCGGATCCACTTATCAACACTGAGATGAGTCGGCAGCGGCCCTGCTGTCTCTGCTGTCACCTGCCCTGTGGGGCCTTCCCTGTTGCTCTGTGGTGTTCCCCAGGTGCCTCAGCCTGCAGGCTCTGGGCTGGGGTGGAAGGGGAGGGTTCCCAGGCTCTGTTTCCTGGGGGAGCCTGTCTTCCCGACAGCTGGACACGCACAGACGGAGCTGGCTTCGTCCTCTCCTCTCCCCCCTCTCCCCTACGCTCCCGGAGGCTCGGCTGCTTCCTTTGTGCTGAATAGGGAGCCGGTGAAAGGGGCTAGAGACGATAGAGCTGCAGGGGGGCGGGGGGAGGGGGGCAGCTGTCTGGGCCTCGCATTCTGTCCCTGTCCCTCCCTGTTCTGCCTTCAGTCTGGGAGCTCTCCCTGCCCCCTCTTCCCTTGTCTAGGCCCTCGGTGGGCAGGCTGCTGGGACTTTGTTGTTTGTGGTGGTCCGTGTTTTGGTTTTGGTTTTGGTTAGGCAATGGGGTTAAGTGACTTGCCCAGGGTCACACAGCTAATAGGTGTTATGTGTCTGAGGCCGGATTTGAACTCAGGTACTCCTAAATCCAGGGCCGGTGCTCTATCCACTGTGCCATCTAGCTGCCCCTGGTCCTTGTTTTAAAGCCCATCCACAGCCTCTCTGTGGCCCTGTTGCCGTCCCACCCGTCCCCACCTCAGGGGGTCTGTGACCTCTGCACTGGAAGTGGGCCTTTCTCATCCCACGTCCAGGCTGGGCCTGCTGACGGTTTGGGGCAGCTTCCTGTGTGCCCACCCTGCCTTCTGCCAGACCGTAGTCCTGGAAGAGGCCCAAGGGACGAGTGCCTAAAAACAGTGCTCCCTGGGCCCAGCTGTGGTGGGCCTGGGGCTCCTGGCTCTATGCCTCTTCATGTTCCTTCACTCTTGGCTCCGCCAGCATCCCACCGATGTGGACTACCGAGTCATGGCCACCTTCACCGAGTTCTACACCACTCTCCTGGGCTTCGTCAACTTCCGCCTCTACCAGACGCTCAACCTTCAGTATCCCCCCAAGGTAAAGGCCTTCCCGGCAGAAGCCCAGAAGCAGGCTGCAAGGCCTTGGCACAGCCGAGACGTCCGTGCCATTGGAACGTGGGCCGTGTTTCATCCTGGTCCTCCCGCTGGGGCAGGGGGCTGTGAGGGCCTGCCTAACCTGGTGCAAAGAGCACGGGGGTCCTGTTCCTTGTCTCACCCTTGGCCTCTTGTCTTCTAGCTCGAGGGGCCCAAAGACAAAGATGGGGATGATGAGGCCTACGCCATGGACTCCGAGAGCTCCCTGGAGGTGAGGCCTGGGGACATGTGGCTGCTCAGCATTGGGTTCAGCTGGCCCAAGTGCCCAGGACCTATGTGTCTGCCTTCCCCAGCCCTTTCTACTCACAAGTTATCCCTGGGGCCCGGAGGTTGGCACCTTGGCACCAGAGGGGCAGGTCCTTTCCTGTGTCTGCAGCCTGGGCTTCGGTCTTCTCCGGCCTGCAAGTGCCCCAGGCTGGGGAGATGAAGCCTGCTGGGGCGAGGGGCGTCCCCTCCTCCTCTTGGCTTCCAGGCCTCTGGCCTTGTCTCACTGAGCTACTCCGGTTATTTTTCTCCAGAAACTGTCAGCTTTGAGTGCAAGCCTGGCCCGTGTGATGGTGCCCGTCACAGAGGAGGAGGCAGAGATGGACGAATTCCCTGCTGATGGGGTGAGGGGGGGCTCTAGGGCCATTCGGGTTCAGGTAGGATGGGAGGAGATTCTTTCCATTTTACAGGTGAGGAAACTTAGGCTGTGGCAGCTTTAGGATGACAATCATGTGGTGATTTGGCCCCAAATCTTCCCACTAAAAGCCAGTGCCCCTTGACTGGAGAGGGGAAGTGTCCACATTGCCCATCCCTCCCCTGCCCACCTTGACTCTGGGGATCCAGAAGCGGCAGGACCACCGCCCCCAGAGACCCTGGGGACAGCTGGGCCTCAGCGGCCTCGTCCTTCTTGTGCCGTAGGAGAACGCGGAGCAGGAGGAGGGTCTGAGGAAGGAGCGGGAGGCCCAGGACAGGCACAAGAGGCTGTTTGAGGGGCTGAAGTTCTTTCTGAACAGGGAGGTCCCTCGGGAGGCCCTGGCCTTCATCATCAGGTCAGTGTCCTCTGTGTCTGTGTCTGTGAGTGTGTGTGTGTGTGTCTGTGTATGTGCATGTGTGTATGTGAGTGTGTGTGTATGTACATGTGCGTGTATGTGTGAGTGTGTGTGTGTCTGTGTGTGTGTGAGGGTGAGCGACGTGGAGGGGCACCAGAAGGCACCCAGTCTCGTGTGCAGTACCTGCTGGGCTGGCCTCAGACAGGAGCCCGCCCCCGCCTCTGTCCCCGTTGTTCTGTGGGTCGCCCAGACTTAGGAACACGAGGGAAACGCTGTCCGTAGTGTGTCGTGTTCAGAGGTCCAGTCGTTAGACCCTCCGTGGCGTCCCCCAGTCGGTGCCCCTCCCCCCTGGCATCGGCCTCATCCAGCCACCTCCTCTGCCTGCGCAGGAGCTTTGGTGGGGACGTGTCCTGGGACAGATCTCTGTGCATTGGGGCCACGTACGACGAGAAGGAGCCTTCCATCACCCATCAGATCGTGGACCGGCCCTTGCAGCCCACCCCCGTCATTGGCAGGTGAGTCCTCCTTGCCGTCTTCTGGCCTTGCCGGACCCTCACCTCCCTCCCTTGCTCCCCCCAGCCCGGACTGGGCCCTGAGCCCTCGTCTCTGCTGCCCCCTCCAGGTGCTACGTCCAGCCCCAGTGGGTGTTTGACTCGGTCAATGGCCGGCTCCGGCTGCCGGTGGAAGACTACTTCCCTGGGGTGCTTCTGCCCCCGCACCTCTCCCCTTTTGTGACCGAGAAGGAAGGGGACTACGTGCCCCCCGAGAAGCTGAAGCTGCTGGCCCTGCAGCGGGGTGAGACCCCAGGTAACTCGGCTGTCCCTGTCCCCCGGCACCGCGACCTTGGGTTGCACAAGCCAGGTCCTTTATCCAGGCCTTAGTTTGCCTGTCTGTAAAATGAAAGGTTTGGATCAGGTGGTGATCTGGTGAAATGAGGGGACCTTGACTTTCCTCCAAAGGTGGCAGGACCCCACCCCCCAGGTGAAGGGGTAGGGGGGAGGTGTTGGGTGCTATGGTGGGGCTGTCCTGGGTTGGGGGGTGGCGCGAGCAGGGAGCCTGGGGCCAGGGCCTGCTGCAACCTGTCGTGACGTGTGCCCTGTAGGAAATGCAACCGAGTCGGAGGAGGAGGAATCTGAGGAGGACGAGGGAGAAGGTGGTGATGAGGAGGAGGAGGAGGAGGATGAGGAAGGTTCGGAGAAGGAAGATGAGGCCAAACTGAAGGTGATGGAAGAGCAGAGGACTCTGGGAAAGGTACTGGTGCCCACCCTCCTTGGGCAGCTTCCTCTGACTGCCCGCACTGTGCTGGGGCTGGAGCATCTCAGGGAGCCTCGGGCACTGCCCACTGCCCTGGGGAGACCCAGCTCTACTTCAGGCTGGAAGCCCGAGCCGCTCTTCTCACGGCCCGGCCCTATTGCTGATGGCAGCATTTGGGGCCCCCAGTCACCGTCCTCTCAGCCTGCTGGAGCTGAAAGGGGGCTGGCCTTGGGGTCAGGGGGCCTGGGGTTAGATGCCGCGTCTGCCACTCACTCCTTGTGCAACCTGGAGCAAAGACCTCCGACTCCTTAGCTTTAAAACGGCCATAAGAGACCCTGTCGTGGGATCATTTGGTGATGGGAGTTTTACGTGCATCAGAGGCAGCAGTGGGTGAGGGCAAGAATGCCTCCTTGGGGGCAGCTGGGTGGCGCAGTAGATAGAGCACTAGCCCTGAAATCAGGAGGACCTGAGTTCAAATCCGGCCTCGGATGCATAACACTAGCTGTGTGACCCTGGGCAAGTCACTTAACCCCATTGCCTATCTAAAAAAAAAAGAATGCTTCCCTGGACCCTGGCCACCCCCACCCTCAGCCAGGGCATGCAGGCTCCTCCTTGTAGACCGGTGGAGCCACTGCTTTGATGACCAGTTGGGTGGCCCTGGGGATGTCTCTTAATGCTTTTTGTCTCAGTTTCTTCCCCTGTAAAATGGGCATGATAGTGGCCCGGCCTCATAGGGTCGTTGTGAGGATCAGAGGAGGGCTTAGCCTAGTGGCTAACACAGTGTAGGGGCCTATCCTCCTCCCCTTTCCCTTGAGAGAACCTCCTGGGGTCTGCTTCTCGCTCGTCCCGTGGGCCGAGGTTGCTGAGACTCTCTGCTGTCCCCAGAAGCCACAGGTGACCATGGGTACCTTGGACAAGAGGCGTCAGCTGCCCCAGGAGGAGGAGAATGAGGCCAAGAGGCTGGCCATCATGACCATGAGGAAGAGGGAGAAGTACCTGTATGACAAGATCATGTACGGCAAGCGGCGGAAAGTGCGCGAGGTGAGCCGGCCCTCCTATCCCCGACTCTGCCTGGGCACCCCCTCCTGACTCCTCTTATTTCTTGGGTCTTTTCAAAAGGAAAATAGTTTTTATGGAAATAGCAGTTTTGTGAATGACTAGAAATGATAGAATGAGGGGTTTGAATTAAGCGATCTCTGAGGCCCCTTCCAGCCCTGACATCCCCTACTCTGAGCCCCCTCCCACCTCTGACTTCCCCTCCTCTAAGGTCCCTCCCACCTCTGACATCCCCTGCCCCAAGGTCCCTCCCACCTCTGGCATCCCCTGCCCCGAGGTCCCTCCCACCTCTGACATCCCCTGCTCTGAGACTGAGTCTGCAGTACATATGAACCTTTTTGTAATATTTTGTACCTCAGTAAAAAAGGAAGGGATGATGGCTACGTTTTCAGGGTAAATTGCAAGTTGATTTTTCCAAATAATCTGTTTCAGGTGCTTAGGGTGCCCTTGATCCAAGATGGTTTGTGGGATGGGAACCTCTCTGGACTCCTGCCACTCTTTTGTTTAATGCGCTTCCTCTCCCTGTCTTGCAGGCAAACAAACTGGCCCAGAAGAGGAAGGCCCACGATGAGGCTGTGAAGGCCGAGAAGAAGAAGAAGAAGAAGGCTCAGGCCTGAGCCTGGCCTGCCTGTGACCCTGCCCTGGAACACTACTGCTCCTGGGCCCGGCCCTGCCCAGGGACTTCTCTCCCAGTGCTCAGGCCTTGGACACTCTGACTGGGAGCTTCCCCGGGGATTCCTCCCCCAGTGCTGGGCCCTGCCGGGCTCTCGGCCTTTGCTGGTGCCCCATCCCTGTTCCCAGACATGAGCTTCAGTGGGGAGGATCCCGGCTGCGCCTCATAGTAGAGGCGGGCAGATGGAAGGCCCAGAGGCCCCGAGGAGGCCACCGGCAGGGTGACCCTTCATGCTCAGGGCTGCCCTAGACACAGCCTGAGTCTCCAGGCCTCCCTGCCCTCTGCCATCTGTACAGATAGGACTTGCCGATGCTTTATATCTGGGGAAAATGTTTCCTAATAAATCTGTGGACTGATGTAGCCGCTGTGCCTTCCGTCCTGGAGCCTTTCTGCTTCTGGCCCAAGGGGCCTCTGCAGTGTGCTGGGTGACATTGCTTCCTGGCCAGGCAGTCTTGGAATGCCAGGACATAGAAGGTTCCATCCCTGCCCTCATGGAGCTAACATGATTAAAGCACCTAATGTGTGCCATCCGCTTTACAAAGATTGTCTCATTTGATCCTCACAGCCATCCCTGGGGGGAGATGCTGTCATGAGCCCCATTTTACAGATGAGGAAACTGAGTCAAGCAGCGGTGAAGTAACTTGCCCAGGATCACCCAGCTAGTCAATGTCTGAGGCAGGATTTGAACTCGGGTCTTCCTGACTCTAGGCCCGGGGCTCTGCACTGTGGTTCCCCTGGTGGCCTCTAGGTGCTTACAGTCCAAGGAGCTGATGCTGGGCTGTGGGAAGGATACAAGTATCCCGAGAGGTATAATGGGAGGTGGGGGGAGGGGGTGGCCAGGGCAGGGAAGGTTTCCCAGCAAGAAGTGAGGGGTGAGGAAGCAGCAGGCCCTGCAGAGCCACAGAGCTGTCCCTGGCCTCAGGGGGCTTCCAGTCCACCCCAGGGCCGAAGGTTGGAGTGTTTGTGTGGGGAGCTGGCCTGCCGCACGCTGTGCGGGCCTGTTTGACGTCCTCTGGGCCATGTGCTGTGTGGGCAGCTTTGCTGAGGGACGTGCACAGAGCCGGCCTGCAGCTAGGTAAGCCCAAGGCCCTCGCAGAGGAAGCCAGGCGGAGGCCCTGCTGTGCTTCAGAGATTCTCCTGGAAGCTGTGTGAAGGAAGGACTGACAGGAACAGCCTGGGCCCCAAGACCATCAAGGGAAGGAAACTGAGGCCCGGGGAGGGACTTAGCCCAGGTCGCGCAGGCGGCAAGCCTCTGCTGGAGCTGAAAGCAGGAGCCAGGTAGAAGGTGCTCGAGTAGCAGGCCTGGTCGAGGTGGGGTCCGAGAGACGACGATTTGGAACCTGAGAAGACGGATCCCGCCCCAGCTCAGGCCTTCGATTCCTCCCGCAGAGGAAGGGGCCGCGGGAGGCAGACGTGGGGCCGGAGGATCAGTTCACCTTAGCTCTGTGGCTTGTGTGTCTTCCTTTGTTCCGGAGTCAGTCATCCCGCTATCAGATTCCCTCTGCTCTGTCACCCTGCGTGGCGCCTGCAGAGGAAGGCAGTGCGGTCCAGCCACGAGCATTAAGTGGCTGCTCTGTGTTAGGTGCTGGGGGTACGCCGGGTGCATCCAAAAGTCTGCAGAATAAATAGGAGGGAGTCAGGGCAGAGGGCCCCCAACAGTCGGCCTCGGGAAAGGCTTTGTGGGAGAGGGAGAACATGGCTTGAGGAAAAGCCAAGAGGAGGCATGGGGGAGCCTCTTCTTGCAAGGCATCTCCACCCATCAAGACCTATTGTTCTAAGCTTCTGATGACACCAAGGACGTGGTTGGTCTGCGTCTTTAGCAGCTGTGACAGGGGACCTGCGGGAGCTAGGCTCACATTTCCCAGGGGACGTTGAAGGTTCCCCACCCCCTATGGGGGCTCCAAGAGAGGAAGATGGGGAGCAAGGTGCTGAGCTCATTGGCAGAGGAGGGAGAATGACGGCTGTGTTCTACAGTCATCACCATTGGGATCTGGTGAAAAATTTCAACAGTGTGAACATCAAAGGAGGAAATGATCAAAGGAAAAAGGAGAGGGCGAGTCCGGGAGTGGAAGTGGGGAGTCGAGTATTCAGACCCTCTGTCTAGGACCAGCCTGTTGTGGGTGCGAATAGTCATCAGTCAGCCAGGCACAAAGACAAAAGCAGTCCGTGCCCTCAAGGAGCTTACATTCTAATGATGAAAAGAAGTGGGTTTGTAGATTGCTATAAAGCAGATAAAAGACAGGGGCAGCTGGGTGGTGCAGTGGGTAGAGCCCTGGGCCTGGAGACAGGAAGACCCGAGTTCACATCTGGCTGGGTGATCCTGGACAAGACACTTCACCTCTGCCTCAGTTTCCTCATCTGTAAAATGGGGATAATAGTACCCCCCCGGGTGGTTGTGAGGATTAAATGAGATAATAATTATAAAGTGCTTAGCACAGTGCACAGCACATGGAAACCTGATATAAATGTTTGCTGTCATTATTCTTATGACATTCTGAGAGGTGAAGGCTAGGAGAACAGGGAAAGGCCTCCAGAAAGTGAGATTTGAGCTGAGCCTTGACAGTCACCTAGGGAACAAAGTGGGAGAAGCCAGGAGGGATTCCAGATACAGGCAACAGCCGGTGGGGAGATACCATCTCACATCGAAGGAAAAAACTGCCAAAAAAAAAAAACCAAACCTGGATTGGGGGTTGAGGGGAGGGGGGTAAAAAGATTACAAAGGTGGGCAGGGGCCGGGGTCGAGCAGCCCTCTGGAGTGGGTGGTGGGGGGGTGGGGAGGAGAGAACAGGAGACGGGATTTGGGGAGAGTCTAGACGGGGGCTGCCCATCTGTACACAGACTGTACTCTCTGCTTGTGAAACCTCACCCTTCTCTCCTCCCCTGACTCTTCAGTCCCTCGGTCCAGCCCACTCTGTCTTAGCTACACCCAGAGACAGCCGAAGCCTTGATTTTGCCACTGTCCACAAATGATCCACCTTTTGGAGCCTGACCTCCAGAATTCCTTCACCCAGTCATAATCCTTTATCTGAGGCAGGATGAGCTTACATCCCAATATTTTTTAACAGCTACGCAACAGCAACCAACCAATGACTTTAGTTACCTGTGTGTAAATAGTCTGCAGAACATTACAATTGAGAGGCATGATAGCAAGACAGACATGTTCTAGGATGTTTAACCATATTCAGATGATTATAATATGTAATTGTAATACATCACTGTAACGCTTGCATTACGAAGAAATGTGAGATGCACGATTCAGAGGCATCTTAGCTCCAGATGTTCATGAGCCTACCCTGTGGTAGAGCCTTCCCAGCTCATATTGGCCTGATCAGCCAGGGCTGGACGCACTGGACCTTGACTACGACGTAATGATGTCATTTTGGAAGACCAACCACCAACACCAATGTTTGCGAAGCTATTGACAGATATTGTCTCGTCTGAACCTAGTGGCAACCCTTAGGGGTAGGTGCTGTTATCCCCACTATACAGAGAGGAAGCTCAGGGCTAGAGAGATTAGTGATGAGTGTGGGGTCACACAGCTAGTGTAATAACACTGGGGTGAGCGCTAGGTGGCGCCATAGTGAGTAGAGGACTGGCCCTGGAATCAGCAAAACCTAAATTCAACCTACCCTCAGATACTTCCTAGCTGTTGGACCCTGGGTAAGGCCCTTCACCCTGTTTACCTCAGTTTCCTCATCCGTAAAATGAACTGAACAAGAAAACGGCAAACCACTCTAGTATCTGTGCCAAGAAAACCCCAAATGGGGTCACAAAGAGTTGGACACAACTGAAAAAAAAAATAATAACACTGCAAAGAGTTGGACACAACTGAAAAAAAAAATAACACTGCAAAGAGTTGGACACAGCTGAAAAAAAAAGTAACATTGCAAAAGAGTTGAACACAACTGAAAAAAGATGATAACACCGATCCTTAAAAATTTAAGAGCAGCATTTTAAAATCGATGGCGCCCTGTGGAATACTCCAAACTAGGTTCAGTGGTCAGCCCTCAAGTCATGGAGGTCCATGGAAGACATCAGAACCACGTGGTTAGCAGGTCATTCCCGTGCTCGGGTCTGCTACCAGAAGTGTGTGAAGGATGAGCTTAACTTACATCTCAATCCTCTTACTCGGTTACAAACCAAACCAAACCAAAAAACAACAGCAGCGATTTTCTCTACCCATTTAGCCACCCTTGGAACCTTAAATAGAAAAGAATGATACTCATATAGCTGGATGGCGATTTATCCCATGATGGCCTCTCTGGAAGCCACTGAAAGTAAGATGGGAAGAGTGAGGTCATCGTAATCGTAAGAGGTAACAGTGCTTCAGGGCTTGCAAAAGTACACCTCCTCTTTGATCCCCGACACCCTTGAAAGGGAGGACCTACAGGTGGTAGCATCCCCTTTTTACAGATGAGGAAGCTGAGGCCTGTAGCGGTTAAGCTTAAGCCCAACCTGGTCTTGTCTCACTCTCTTCCTCTCCTTAATAAACCCATTAGCAGGCAGCAGCCGGGTGGAGAAAGCCAGCCAGCGTCTCTTGGCCTCTGCAGCCAAGCCGTATCAAGTCTACTTTTGCGTCTCTCCTCTATGTACCTTTTCTTCTTTAATGCAACTGACATCATGGTGGCAGGCCCTCATCACCTCACTTCTGGACTATTGCAATAACCTTTTAAAAAATAATACATAATTTTCCCACAATTGCATGTAAAAGCAATTTTTAACGTTTGTTGTTTTTTTAAGTTTTGAGTTCCAAATTCTCTCCCTCCCTCCGTCCCCTCTCCCCTGCCCCGGACGGTAAGCAATGCAATGTAGGTTACAGGTGTACAATCATGTAAAACATTTCCATGGTAGTCATTTTGTGGAAGAAAACTCAAACAAAAAGATGGAGGAAATGACAGTAGCCTTCTAATTGGTCTGCTTGGGGAGTGAGGTCTTTACTAATAGAATCGCCTTGAGGGAGGGTTTATGGGTTGCCTTTCTCTATGTCCCTAGGCCTAGGGTTTAGCACATTAAATTCACATTAATTAATCACATTAGCACATAATAGGAGCTTAATCCGTGATTGATTCTGGTTCCCCCCAAAGGTCTGGAAGGGATCACAAGCCCCATTTGACAGAGGAAAATGAAGCGCAGGATGGCAAGCCAACAGGCAGCGACTCGGTGGAGACTACAGTTTGGGTCTCCTAAGACATTGTGACCCAAGGTTCTCTGACCTCTCCCATGCTGGGGAAGAAGGATTTCCCTGGGAGAACTCTGTGAACAAAACTGGTACAGCCTTGGAGTGGGAGTTCCAATCCCTGCCTCAGACACCCTCTGCATGGCTCTGGACAAGTTAGCTTGGAGTCAGAAAGGACTGAATTAACATCCTGTCTCAGATACTTACTAGCTTGGTGACCCTGGGTAAGTCACTTAACCTCTCTGCCTCAGTTGCTTCATCTGCAAAACGGGTGCGTGTAAAATGAAGGGATCAGATTAGGTGGCCTTTGGGGTCCCTTCTGGCCCTCCACATAGGAGTCCTAAAATGGCAGTGTCATCATGAGACAGGATTGAGGGTGAGAATGACTTTTGGGCAGAGGACCGAATGAGTGAATGAATGAATGAATGAATGAATGAATGAATGAATGAAAACAATTATTAAATGCTTACTGTGTGGAAAGCACTGTGCTAAGTGCCATCCGAACAAATCGAAACCAAGATGGTCCCTGCTCCAAAGGAGCCTGCAGTCTAGGAGGGAGAGCTCATATACGGGGTGGGAGAGCCTGATGAGGTCTTGGGCGATAGGAATGAGGGCGGCCCTTCCATCCATCCCCCTGGGCCTTAGCGGAATCACAGGGCATTCTGGCCCCCAGACGTGACCTGAGCCGTCTTTCCTGCAGGAGGACTGAGCAGTTTAGAGGCTTCCACCCCCCACCTCCCCCCTGTCACCCTCACAACCGGGGGTAAGGACAACTCCACCTCCCAGCCTGCAGGGCAGAATGAATGAAGCTACTCATGCTGAGGGGTGCCCAGGCCTGTGACTCTAGCCTCCTTCCTCACTGTTCCCTCCAGCCCTCTGACCCTGCGGCCACCCCAGAGCCACGAGGGCCGGCCAGCAAGCCTATCAGACAGGGGACAGCCCCGCCCCCGGCCCTGTCTGCCGGTGCTGACCCTGAATTTTCTCCATTCCAGAATGGCTCAGCTATGCCGGGGGCGTCTGCTCTCTGATGCAGCCCAAGACGGGGGGTTTTCTGCCAGTCCGCAGCTGCCCTGGTGCTCCTTGAAGTCCCCGGCACGCTTTCTTCCTTGCTGGGGACCCTGTGCTGGGCTGCGGTGTGAGATGCCTGGGGGTGGGGGGCTGGCACTGACGGCAGGATGGTGGCGTTGCCCCTGCTCCAAGGCACGGCCACCCTGCCAGCCCCTCACTGTCTTTGGAAGGAGGAAGGGCAGCTGGGGACGTCTGGGGCCCTCAGTGCTGGGTTCGGCCTTCCCCTCCTTGGAAACCAGTGGGTTCAGGCTCTTGGCTTGATTGTCACACAATAGCCCCATTCTACAGACAAGTAGCTGGGCCTCGAGGGGTGGAGTCTAGGGGAAGGGGGTTTAGCTGCTCACAGGGTCTTCCGTGTCATGCCCGTCTCTGAAGGAAACAAAGGAGGTAATTGGACGAGGCTGAGGGGCGAGGGGGTGGCATTTAATGCCCTGGAAGCCCACCCTGTAGCCTAAGTCCTTTGGGGGCCACGGGCCGATCCTCAGCCCTGGAATCCCAAATGAGGCAGACCTGTCAAACTGACAGGGAAGGTCCCTAGGACCCTGGGGTCGCGTTAGCCGGAATCTGTAGTCCTCATTCCCAAGCAGCCTGTGCAACAGGTTGTGAAATGGGGAGAGGGGCCTTGGAAATCAGTTCCTTCATTCGACAGTAGAGGAGACTGAGACCCGGTGAGGGGAGGAGGCTCAGCCAGAGTCACACGGTGAGTTGGGGCAAGGCCGACGCTGAAGTCCAGGGGCCCAGTTCCCAGCCTCTTTTTGCCCTGTGCACCACTCTGGCCAGCTGCCCCAGGAGCTGGGCTGGGAGGCCCTAAGAAACCTCCTCCTTCACAAGGGATGCTTTGGGGGCTCATCCTGGCTGGCTCCAGATTCCGGGGGCCTGGAGCAGGCGGAGTCCGGCGCGGACAATGGCCCCGTTGCTGGGGCAGCCGCAGCTGGGAGACAAACGGGCCTGTTGTTTGGGGGCCCCTCCAGTCCTGGCCCAGAGGTGAATGGCTTCTCTGTGCCTCCTGCCTGGCCCCTCCAGTTCCCAGGAGTGGGAGGGGAGGAAGCCAGGGGCCGGGGGCTGGGCCTTGTCATTGGCTAAGGGAGCCAGGCAGGGAGGGTGGGACCAGGCAGGAAACCTGGCCCTGCACCTGTACCCCACGGGAGGACTCGTGGGCACAGGCAGTGGGGGGTTGGCCCAGGCGGGCCGGTGACGGGGCCTGGGGGCCCAAGTGTCCATGCAGGGGCAGGACAGAGCAGTGTCCCTAGACCGGTGCTGGACAGCTGTGGGGAGCCCCCAGGGCCCTGGAAAGGACACGGAGGCGCCACCAGGGACCTACCCAGAGGATCTCAGGAGAGAAGGGTATGTACATAAGTCCTGGCAGGCTGGTGGGATCAGGGGAACCCCCTGTTAGGGGAGTTAGGGGAACCCTAACTCTGTTGGGCTGGAGCACCCTAATTGATGGCAGTTTAGAAGATCCTGGATCTAGTGCCCAAATGAATCCAGTGTCCCCTTTACGGCTCAGGAAACCGCAAACCAGGGAGGGAAAGGGACTTACCCAGGTCATGCAGGCGGGACATGGAAGTCAAGTCTTCTGGCTCCAAATCCAGTGTGGGCATGCTGCATTTTTTTTTCTGCGACTTCTGCTGGCAGGCTGTAGGATCCCACAAGAGGCCCCTCTGCCTGCCTCAGTTTCCCCCTTGCTCAAATAGTGATGACAATACTGTCTGCTCAGCTAAAAAAGTTATACTGACCCCCAAACCCCAAGGAAGCGAATGGAGGGGAATGAGAGAAGGAGTAAATATGCTTTGAGATCCTCCTGCCGGAGATGTCAGAAGAAGGGAGAAAAAAAAACGTGGGTGTGAGGAAGGCAGTGGAGGTTGTGTGCCTAAAGACCCCCATCTCTTCCCACAGCCTCCTCAGGGGCTCGGGATGACCCTGTCTGGGCTAAGGGCTGGGGGCAGCCTTTGAGAACTACCCCCTTTTCCCTTTTTCCTCTCCCTGGAATCTGTCAGAAGAAATAAAGCGCCTAAGCCTCTGGGGCTGGTAAACCAAGTTATGTTAATGATTAATCCCATTTGGGACAGAATCAACAAAAGTCTGCCTCACGGGCCTGCTGGCACTTGGAAGGGGGCCTGGGACCCAGCCATAGCAGGCTCTGGGCATCACGTCCCTCCTCCACGCGTCCAGGAGCACCTGAGAAGGGAATAGCATCCCAGCTGGTCCACCTTTTACAGAAAAGGAAACTGAGGCCCTTCACGTGAAATGATTTGCCCAAGAGATCACAGGTAGCAAGTCTCAGCAGGGAGGACTGGAGCTTAGTTCCTCTGGCTGAAGATAAAGTTTTTATCTGAACAGGGATCCCCGGAATGGGGTAAGGCATTGGGCTAGACCAATGAAGCTAGACCTGAGGGGGAAGGGAAGGATGCCTTGGGCTCCCTTCCCTGTCGGAAGGCTCCATCCTCTGGGAGGGTGAATGTAGGCAGGGCTCAGAGTGCCGGGTACAGGGAATGAGATCAGCACAGGTGGGAAGCTTGTGATCCGATAGGAGGTCAAGAGAGGGTTTACTCCTCTCTCCTTGAATTGGGGCTATACCTACAGTGGTTATGGGTGGGTGTGTGTGTGGTAGGGAACAGAGAGTGGCCTATAGGCCCAGACAGGGCAAGGGACTCTGGAGGAGTCTGTGGGGGTGGTCAGCCAGAGGAGGAATCCTTCGGCCAGAGCAGGTAGTTCTCAAAGGCTATCCCCAGCCCTTAGCCCTATTTCTCTTGGAATCTGGCGATGGGGGCCAGTGAGGAGGGTCACGCACTGGGGACCCCCGGCCCCCTGGTGTGCCTCCAGGGTCTGCACCTCCCCCTCTCCCTCACCCCACCGGCCTCATCCAAAGCACATTCCCAGACTGTCTCATGGGGTCCTGAGGACGTGTTTGGGATGTAAAGAGAAGAAAAGCGCGTTCTCTCAGATCGATGTCTTGACAATGACTGAGGGAAGGTCACAAGTTAATGGTTATCAGGTATTGGAATCCTGGTCTCCTGACTCAGCCCGGTGCTCATCCTGCTGCCCCCCCCCCCCCCCCCGCCCGGGACAGTTCAAGGATGTAACCTACACCACCCCAGCGGGGGGCCTGACACCAGATCTCTCGCCTGCCCGCTGGAGTCTGGGCTCCCTCGGGGACAGGTGCCTGAGGCGTCCATCCATGCCGGGGGGAGCAGCAGCAGCCCGTGGGGGTGGGGAGAGATGGGCTGTGCTCCTGGGTCCTAGAAGGTCTGGTCTGGAAGGAGACAGAGAAAATGCCAGAACTTGTGATATTCTAAGAGAGCAAAAGGTTAGAACTGGAAGGACCTTGAAATAGGGGCTCTAGAAGGTCAGAGCTCTGGGTGATCTTAGAATACAGGACACAAAATGTCAGCACCGGAAGGAAACTGAGAGCATAGAATGTGAGAGCTGTAAGGAACCTTAGAAAAGAATGTCTGAACTGGGAAGGGGCTGAGAACAGGGGATGCCAGAGCTGGGAGGGCCCTTAAAACAGGGAATGTCAGGGCTGGGAGGGGCCTTAGAACATGGACTGTCAGAGCTGAGAGGGGCCTTAGAACATGGACTGTCAGAGCTGAGAGGGGCCTCAGAACAGGGGCTGTCAGGAGTGAGAGGGGCCTTAGAACAGGGAATTTCAGAGGTAAAAGTGACCTCTGAACATATAATGTCAGAGGAGGCCTTGGAAATCATCTGCTCTAATTGCCTAATTTTACAACTAGGAAACCCAGGTCTCCTAGCTCCCAGGCCATGGGTCCTCGTTCCCTCTTCCGCTTGAACTCCTTGGGTCCTAGGTTTGCTCCTCCTCCCGAGGGGCCCCTCTCTAGTTCCCCTGGCCTGGGACCCCACACTACCTCATTTTCAGGGATGGGACAAGGGGCACCTTTACCTGATCCCCCTGCAGGGGTCTTTCTGGGAGGACCAGGAGACAACTGAACTCCTTCACTGCCTTGGCTCTAAGCCTCGGCCCCAGGGAGCTAGATGTGGCTCCTAGTTACCAGTTCCTAGAACTGGATCTAGCTCCCTGGGGCCCTGAAAGCAGGAAGCATATGGCATGCTAGGAAACACTTCCATTAAGAGAAAGGCTGGCCTTCTTTAATTTTTTTTTATTTTTAATTTATTTCTTTTTAGTTTTCAACATTCACTTCCATAAGATTTTGAATTGTAAATTCCCCCCTCCCCCGGAGATGGTGTACAATCCGATCTAGGCTCTACAAATGTGAAGCATGTTTTCCCATTAGTCAAGTGAAAAGGACAATTAGAACTAATGGGAGGAACCCCGAGAATGAAGCAATAAAAAAACCACAAAGGAAAAGGAGAGCAAATGGTCTGCTTCCATCTACGTTCAGACTCCCTGGTTCTTTGGGTGTGGATGGCGTTTTCCCTTATGAGTCCTTTGGCCCAGTCTCAGATCCTTGCATTGCTGAGAAGGGTGAAGTCTATCAAAGTCAGTCCCCTCACCCTCACAGTGAGGCTGTTACTGTGTACAACGTCCTGCTCACGTCACTGCACCAGTTCATGTCAGTGCAAGGCTGGCCTTCTACAAAGCAGTGAAGGGGCTTGGGCCTCCTTCCTCCTCCACACCCACCCCTCCCTGCTGCCGCTTGGAGGGCGAGGACCAATGGGTTCCCATGGGTGCTCGTAGAATGTCAGAGTTGAGAATGCTGGATTGCTAGTCAGAGGACTTGGGCACTTACTACCTCTCCTGGTGACCCTGGGCTAGTCCCTTGCCCTCTCTGAGCTTCTGTTTCTTCCTTCCTAATCAATCAGTCAGTCAACTAGCACTTATTCAGCACTTACTATATGTCAGGCACTGAACTAGACAATGAAGACACAAGTCCTTGGCCTCAAGGTGTTTACACTCTTCTGGGAGAGACAAGTTCTCTTACAAGGTGTATACAGGCTCCCTTTCTTCCCTCCAGGTGGGAGCCCCAAAAAGTCCATGCACAAAGCCAGATTCAGCATCGGAGGATGACAGGCGGATTCCCTTCCATCTCTAAGCCCTAACCCTTCTCTCCTTCTTTTAACATCACATTAAGAATCTGAAGGCAGTGTAGCATTTGTTGACTGTATTAGGGGCGAGGAGCCTTTTTGTTTTTGTTTTCTTTTTCTTTCTCTCTCTTTTTTTTTTCATCCTGTAGGCAATAGAGAGCCATGGAGGATTTTTGGGCAGGGGAGTGATACGATGTCTTGCAGAAGTAGCTTGGGCAGCTGCTTAAAGCATGGATTGGAATGAGGAGACTGGAGGCAGGAGAGAGGGGAGGTGCAGCACTAGCTGCGTGAATGGGGAGAAGGAGCAGGTTGGGAGAAAGTTCTGCCCTGGAGATGACAGATTTCACAGACTTTCAGAGCTGACAGGGACCTCAGAGCTCATCAGATCCATCTCTTTCATTTTATGCATGAGCAAACCGAGGCCAGAGAAGGGTAGCCACCGGCCCAAGGTCACACAACCAGTGAGCCGTTGGAGCTGGGTCTGGAAAGGACTTGGGGAATGATTGGAGTCAGGGAGAAGGGAGATTCAGAGACAGCTCAAGGATTTCCAGCTCAGCAGTTTTCCGTCTCGTATTGGATTTTCGTTGAGGTCTTGACTCTCAGCCTCTGTGGGTAGAGCTTCTGGGGTGATTTGGCTGTGGGGAGCAGCTGGACGAGATTGCCTGATGCTGGTGAGTTTGGGGTTCAGGAGTTGGCCGGACAGGCAGGGACATGCGCCCCCTCCTGTGGAGCCCCTGTTACCCCCCCCCACCCACTCTCCCACACCCACACACACAGAGACCTTTGGGGGATCAGGCACCACCCGCCCTCCCTCCTCCTGGTTGGGCATACCGTCCCTCCGGGGATCGCTAACTTCCTGCTGTCACAGCCAAGGTGCCCTTGGCCAAAGGACTTCCCGGGACTCTTGAGGGCAGTGAGGTGAGGTGAGGTGGAGAAATTGAGGCCCAGGGCTAGGAGTCACCCAAGGTCACCCAGCCAGGCAGGGGCGCCGAGAAGAGGCACAGCAGCCCAGCGGGAGGCTTGTGAATATTCATCCATTCCTACTAAACTTCGGGCAGGGCCAGGTGTCTTTGGCTCGCTTCCCAGAGCTGCAAAGTCAGGTCCGCAGGTCGAGGCCAGACTCAGGAGGGCTGAGGCTTACAGCAGGACGCGACCCAGCCGAGCACCCTCATCCTCCGTGCCCCACCCTCATCCATCACAGCCCGGCTAGGTAGGAGGATGCTCCCGGACCAGTAACTTTTCTGACCTGGTTCTCAGTTTCCCCTGCTGCACCATTGGGGCATGATTCTGTCTTCCTTCTGGGCTGTATTTCAAGGGCAGAACTCTTAAGTTTCCTGCTC